TTGCGCCAACCAAAATGAATAATTATATAAACTCGATACTTTATTATTTGTGATATTAAATTGTTGTATTCAAACAATCGAGCATGAGATTTTACCGGAAGAAATAAAGGAGACAATAATATTAATGAGACAAATTTTTAATACTTATGCAAAAAAAATATAATGCAAACAACTTTAATATAAATAAATATTTTATTAAAAGATAGCCTTTTCTAATTTAATTGTTGGACACATATCGGCCCTGACTCACGACATTATTGTTTACTTAAAACACTTGGCGCTGCTAAACCAATTGTTAATTGCGCTTTTCCTCCTCCCTTACAAGTATTAAAGTCTCTCTTTCTTTTGTGCATGCGTGTGCGTGTACGAGCGCGCGCGTGGGTTATGAAATAGGGATCAAAATTAATTGTAAGTTTAGATTGTATACTTCAGTGGTTTAGCAGCGCCCAATTTTTTTAAATTTATTTGTATTGAGGTTGTTTGAATTATACATTTTTATTGCATAAGTATTAAAATTTTGTCCCATTAATATTATTGTCTCCTTAATTTCTTTCGGTAAAATCTTATGCTCGTTCAAGGGAGGAGTAAAAAAAAAATAAAAAGCCATCAAAGTAGGTTATTGCTGGTCTATGTAGGCGTATAGATCAGCTAAGTGGGTGTAAATTATCCTCAAAAGTGTCAAAATAGTACCGAAATTTCGACTCGGGGTATACTTTGGCGCCAGATTAATTATGGAACTTCCAAAGAGTTTGATGCAACAGAGTCTGCTAGACTGACCTTTCGGGACACGATTGCGCCGATGATTTCGCTGAAATGTATAAGTGATAATATTGATACGCCCATCCTGTCAACGATCTGTTGGAAGCGCGCGCTTGTACACTTACCGGGCGTGCTTGCGCGTGTATTTGAATATGTAGTCATCCACTTATATACCGTCCGTTCGTCAACTAATCAAACATATCAAATATTTACGATTATGTAATTATGTACGTCGGAGCATCGGGCGGAATGTGTGTATTTCCGAAATCGGGAGCGCGATGTATATAATTCCAATCGTGTCGGACGTTCGTGGCATAATTACCGCAGCTTCCAGCTATGCCGAAGATGAGGGCCGATTCTTGTAAACGCGCGCGCTTCGGCATATCGCGATCGAGAATTCACTAGAAATCAATCCGAGTCCTTTTTCCCCTCTTGTAACTTTTGCCCTGCCTCCCTGTCTCATCTCCTTGTACCACTGGCTCTTTGTCTCCCTTTCGCTCCCGCGTCGCTTTCGCCTTTCTACCCGTATAGTTGGCTTTCCTCTCTATCTACTCTTTCTATCGGTTTTTGCATCGCACATCCGCAGGCGTCTGTCCACTATCGTAAATATTGGATATCCATTATGAAATATTGGATGATATCGGATATTCGACGTGCGGCCGATATAGTCCGCAGCCAATACGTACTCGCGTTTCTGGCAGTACCGACGTCGGGCTCGCGCCAGGGATGGGGGAGGGGAAATTGCTTTGCCTGCGGTAGCATCTTCGATAATTAATATGCCTTGTTGGAATTCGCATTTGACAGAAAAATAACGAGTGACTGGTTGGAAGCGGCGTTATTAGCGGCGGTGAAACCGCAATACGGACACTGTAGTAGCAGCGGAATTAATATCAGCGCGAGTAGCCGGCTAGTTTAAATAGATGTGTCTGCTTCATCAACGCCGCAACTAAAAATGCGCTCGACGTTTTGTCAGAGAGGATAAATACGTATATATTTTTTTTTCACATAACTGGTACTGATCCGCGGTTGAAGGTTGATAAATATGATATAAAATTGTCAGAGAATAATCCTGCTTGGAAAATATGTATATAATCTATTTTCATAATTTTAACAAGGTTAAACGTGGCGTTTACTTTGAAAACTGCCGGTCCAATATCGGATCGTGCGTCGAATCGGTACCGGTTAATATTAGTCAAATCTAAGCATTGCGTTATATATGCATATTGTAATCTGATTAAAAGATATTTAATGCATAACGTGCGATTTTGCTGAATATTGCACCGATATCGTAAATGAGGAGGCGCAGGAATTTCCTCTAATTATAATTAAAATCGACTGTGTATCGGCATCGGCGCCGAATAATATAGGAGCACGTGTACAATATGTAATAAATACGATAAATAATATAGGAAAGATTCGCTGAAATTGTAAATGTCCGAGCGCGGAAACTGTAATCGCGCTGCGTCTAAATATCACCGGCCGCGCCGCACGTTTTCACAATAAGAGCAGACTCGTCGTCTGTTTCTGTAAACATTAATTCATACCGGGACACGGTATCCGACGTGTGCGTCCACCCCCGTTGTCGCACGTCCGTCTCGTTCCGTCGGCGCACAATGCGGCATACCTACTTACGAATCGGTCAGCTTTTTGTCTCGCGTGTTCCATTTCCGAAAGCGTATACCTATGCGCGCTACGTAGCAGTCGGTTTCGCGTGAGATTGAAAGACGCAGGCGTTTGCCGGCACGCAATTCACGCAGCACGTGTAAATGTGTGCACAGATGCATCGGCAGGCCGAATCGAGAGGGTGTACAATGCGTTTGAGTCCCGCAAGGACCGTACGTAGCGGAAGAGGGCAGAAGGATGGGGGCTGTGTGCACGATGGACATTGATGGTGGAACATTTCACCGTGCAACAATGCTTTGCGGCAACAATGCGCAAACAAATGATTCCGTTGTAGCCGTTGTAATTACTGGTGGCGTATGCTGGGCATTCCCTCCCCTCCCGCCCCTCTTCTCATCGGGTCTCTCTCCGTGCTCTTCTCTCGACCGCACACAGCCGATCTTTCTCCTTCTCTTGTCACGCTTTGATTGCTAAATCAACGCATTTCCGTGAATGCCGATTGATCGAAACGTGAATCCCTTTTGCGACGTACCTCTTGCGCGACAATTGGAATTCGCGCGAAAGAAAGCAAGAGAGTGCATCTAATTTCCAAGTCTTTCTTCCGTCATAAAGGAAGAAGCCATGCGACAGCTCAGTCAGGAGTCGCGACCCATTCTTCACTCGATCCGGGGTTTTCTAATATGTGAACGCTGAATGGAAGGTCGTGCTAATTAGAGCTGGGATTTTTCTCTGAAGATTTTCAATTTCGAAGCTTCGACTGTTTTTGTTTCTTTTCAATGTAAATTAAAATTTTCTTAGACCATAGTTAACCATTCTAGCCTATTGTACATGGAACACAAATGTTTCTCCTTTCATTTGAGACTAAATACAGACAAAAATGTCAGTTACTCTTTAACTCAGAACGATTTGAATTTTGGTAGGTGATATTAGGTGCCATTTTTTCAAACCCCCGACTGTGTTTGTTTCTTTTCAATGTTGCAATTAAATTTTTTTTAGATGTTAACCATTCTAACCTATTGTGCATGAAACACAAATGTTTCTTCTTTCATATGAGACTAAGTACAGACAAAAATGTCGATTACTCTTTAAGTGAGAACGATTTGAATTTTGATAGGCGATATTAGGTGCTTTTACCCGCATTGCGATAAAGAAATAGGTGTCAAGTACTTTATTCCACGCAAATCATAAATATTCATACGTGTCATTCTCCCGCGAGCACATTTAAACTTGTTTGCATTGTTATTTATAAAAAGGTTGAACGTTTTGAAACTGTCGCAGATGTTAACATAGTATTGTAGATGCATCCCAATTTCACGGACGCGCCACTGTTTGTTTCCACCGCACAAGATGTACGGCACTATATTTGTTTTTTGAATAAAGGAATTCTGTTGTGATCCAGAAATTCACGAGACATGCATACGTAATTCTTTCGGTATGCAAGGCTCTCTTGTTTCTCTTCGTAGACAATATTTCAAGAGCAAAGCTGCTTCCATGAAGTTGAAGCTTTATTTCTACGACTGCAGCTCCTGCACGGCCAATGCATTATGTTTACTCGTAAACTAGGCCGTTATTTGCCTCACTAATAATTAAGAGCGCCGTCGTGTAACATCCTATATGTGGTCATAAATTCATTACGCTTAATAAAATATTAAAAAATCGATTAAAGGAGAGCCTACAATTTGTCATTATTTACACTTTGTCGCGAGCGGATAAATTTAGTTACTTTAGCAGTTATTCGCAGTCTTTAACAAGCCATCGGCACACGATACCATTTTCCCTACTGGATTGCTTACCAATCAGGATTTAGCCTTAAGTCACCCGATCTAAAACTCTGCATCCCGATTGGCTCCCGTAAGCAATTCAGTAGAAAGAATAGTATCGTGTACCGTTGGCTTTAGATTCAATTTATAAATTAGTTTTACATTCTGCGCGGAGAGAATCTCTTAAAATATTCCCTGAGAATCGTGCAATCGTGGGACAACGTGGCATTTTGAAGACCTTTATAAGACCTTTTTGAATTCTCACGATTACACGATTTCCGGGATAAATTTTAAGAAAGAAATTCTCTCCGCGTATAAGCTGTACAACACCAAGTCCTCAGTTCTCAACTCGCTAGATTTGATCAGGATATAAAAAAGATTTTGGAGAATGAAATTTGAAACGTGTTAATAACATCAATCACTTTTTCTTTCCAGGGAACTGCAACGATGGAGACACCTCAGCACCCGTCCGTTTGATCTTCCAGTCGTAAACAACAACTCTCGATTCGTACGCTAGACAAGAGGCAATTGGACGAAGGGTGGCGGAGCTTATGAAGGTACGTACAACTGGTAAGAGATAGTCTAATAACGGCGCAACGTCACCGAGGGTGCGCACGTGCAACTATCGTCGGCATACGCGCGCGTGTATATATACGCGACACCAACACACTTTGCCATCGAGTATCGTGGACAGGGAGGGTAGTTTGGGGTGAGGGGGGGGGGCGGTGGATACGTAGACGCAACTACGATGCCTGACATCGGGCAATATTGAAGCAATAATCTTGGCCCTCCTTGCCTCCCCCCTCGCCGGGGTCTCGCAACGCGTTAGTGCGCTTTGGTACACGAAGATATTAAACTTACGTGCTCTCTATGTATCCGGGCGCGTGTGAGAGAAGGGGTGCGTGCGTCGACGCCCACCCCCGGCGGAGTCTCGGCTTGTCTCGTCAAATGATCCCGTGAAAGGGTATCAGCTCCGCGCGCCGTTGGCTCTGGAATAAATGAATAGCGAAATCACGCTCTCCCGAAGAGGATAATCGCGAATGCAAGTCGCAGTTGAGAAAACGTCACGTGTATCCATCTCGTTAAGGTCTGTGTTCGCGAATCTAGAACTTGGTTCAAGAGCTATTCCATAAAAGCTGCAAGTTGATTGGCTACACGTTTCTCGGAACTGGGTAGGACTTGGACCAAGTTCCAGCATCGTGGACGCAGGCCTTTAGAGAATATCTTTATAAAATTTCATTTATGTATAAATACCAAATGATATCTAATGTAATTTTAACGACCTACACTGGCTAATGTTTTTTATTCTAAAAAGCAAAACACGTTACAACGTTTCGGTCCCGGATTTGGACCCTCATCAAGTAATCTGAAATCATACATAAACTCCGCACGAACATTGCTTAATAAAATACTTACAACGAAAACAAATTATAAGAGCTCGTACCTGTTACAAAATTATAAAAGATCACATATTAATTGTTTGGCCAATACCATTATGATAGTAAGCTGTGTACAAGCAAGAGAGCGATTAAATTATACCTTATTAAGGGGATGCTGGAGTGA